GATTTGAAGTCTTACATCTGAGCAGCACTTTCTGATTAGGAACAAAATCATCAATGAGAAATAATTGTCTAAATAACTTTTTATATGGACAATGTCTGAGACGTGTAATCCCTTGAACTCTTAAAGAAATATACTGATAACTTTACTCTTTAGTTATACTTTCCTTTTGGGTGTTTAAGACCATACAGTTGGGCCAAATACATCAATTTATTTTTACTCTTCAGGTCCTTGGAGGATCTGTTCTTCAGGGGTCATATGGGCTTGGGAGGGGCCCCTGGCTCCTTTCTTTTACCAGTTCCATCTATGTGAAGTCAAAGGTCCTGCTCCACCATGTCTGGCTTCACTTGGAAGCATGGATGAGATGTTTCCTCTGAGTTGACCCTCCTCTTTGTAGGCTGGGCACTGGTTCAAGTCTATCTCGTGGGGTCTCCATGGCCTCCCTGAACAAGAAAACAGGTAACTCACCACAGTTACAGGACATTTTGAGAGATGTTCCATAGTCCCCTGGAACTTAGTCGACCTTGAAGGGCAAGGGGCAAAAACTGTCCTTTAAGTCCCTCTGACCACATTAGTATAGGCCTTAAAGTATGGCTATTAAACATCCAATAAGGTTAGTTCTACCAGTCTGGTACTTTTAATTACCATGTGCTATGTAGATAAAGCTTGGGTAAAAAACCAAATATTCTCAGGTAAACCTGGACTAGATACATATTTTGTTCCTTAAACTAGTTGACTGAACTATGACCACAGACATTTTAAGATTATGGGTATATTATTTTTGTCTCATCCTTTATATATCATAAGAAACCTACACAGACCCTCATCACTTGCTTAGGCTTTTTCATTTTTTCTATTTTGGAAAATATCTCCATTCCCATATCCTTTTAACATCTTTTACATTCTCATTTTCTTTTTTTTAATAATTAAGAGACATAATAGCATTAGCAAATATATATTCCATGTGTTGTGAGAATTCTTTTCCTGGGGATACTAAGCAGTGCTTATTCCCTTTTAAGGTTCTAGTGTCAAGCCAATGTTTGACTGAAGTTTTACTAGGGAACCAATGAATGTACTGAGCTTACCGAGATAACTGAGGGGTTGCTGAGGAGTATGTATGACCTGAGGGTATGCACATCGGAAAGCCTTTACATGCAGCATGGGTCATGCCTTCTCTTCCTAGCCTTCTCTAGACTGTATACTTTAGCCCTCCCCAAATCCAGGAGACCATGTGTGATTAGAGCCAAATTACATACAGTTGGCTGGGAAGAGTGGCTAGATACTCTGGTGAGGGTCCAATGTCCCTGTTTGGCCTTCCTTTAATGAATGAGCACAACTGTCAACAAGCCCAATTGTGACGATGTTTAGCGATCAGGCATAGCTGAAGTCAGGATGATGGTTGGTATTTCACGCAGAAGAGACTGCTGTACAGCATCATCTTATTAAAAGGACATGGGATTTAAAAAGATTTGGTGCTACGATCCACATATGAGGGAGAACATATGTCATTTGTTTTTCTGAGTCTGTGTTACTTCACTTAGTATAACAGTTTCTAGGTCCATCCATTTACCTGCAAATTTCATTATTTCATCTTTCTTCACTGCTGAATAGAACTCCATTGTGTAAATATACCACATTTTTGTTAACCACTTGTCAGTTGAGGGGCACTTAGGTTGCTTCCATCTCTTAGCTATTGTGAAAAGAGCAGCAACAAACATGGTTCTACAAGTGTCTCTACAATAGGATGCATCCTTTGGGTATATGCCAAGGAGTGGTATAACCGGGTCATATGGTAGGTTCATTTTTAGATTTGTAAGAGTTCTCCACACTGTTTTCCATAGGAGGTTGCACGAGTTTGTAATCCCACCAGCAGTGAATGAGCATTCCCATTTTCTCCACATCCTCGCCAGCATTTGGTATTATTTGTTCTCTTGATCCTAGCCAGTCTGACTGGGGTAAAATGATACCTTAGGGTGGTGGTTTTAATTTGCATTTCCCTAATTACAAATTATGTTGAACACTTTTTGAGATGTTTCTTAGCCATCTTTATTTCTTTGAAACTCTCTGTTTAGATCTTTAGACCATCTTTTAACTGGGTCATTTGATTTCTTGATTCTTTGTTTTTTGAGTTCTTTATATATTCTGGATGGATGTTAAACCTCTGTCAGATGTGTCACTAGTGAAGACTTTTTTTCCATTCTGTGGATTTTCTCTTCACTTTTTTGATTGTTTCTTTTGCTGTGTAGCTTTTTAGTTTAATGAGGTCCCACTTGTTGATTGCTGACCTTAATTCCTGAGCAACTTTTGTCCGATTTAGAAAATCCTTTCCTATACCTATATCTTGTAAGCTGATGCCCTCTTCTGTCCCCAACTAGCATTGCATGACACATGTGCCCTTACATGCATGCAGGCAATACACATACACATAAAAAAAGGAGGCTAGTACCTGAAGTTGTCTTTTGACCGCCACACATGAGCACATGCATGCACACATGTGCACACATGAACATGCACTCACACATGCACACAAGCACACACAAAAAACTAAACAAAAACCACCTGCCCCCAGGAACAATAAGCTGAGTTTTGTAGTGGGTCTTTGGTTTGAGCCTTGGCCCTGCCATGTGGACCTTCTGAGCCTCACCTGCCTGTACCACAGGCCACTGTCAAGTCAGTTGACCTTTGACTTTCCAACCTGTGACTTGCAGGAACTCTTTCCAAGACTTTGAGAAAGGTGCTAGCAACCTCATAATTACATTTTTATTCCTGTCTGTAAAGCAGTCACCCCCCAAGCCTCAGATTCCACAGAACTTGGCCCTGTTCCCCCACAGAACTGCTTTGAGAGTTAAGCAGGATTCTGTTCATAAGATTCTTTGTGTAAAGTAGATGCTCAATAAATGCTAGTTCTCTCCAGAACAGCCCATAAAAAGGATGGAAGAAGGATAGATAGGAGCTCAGGCAGGTGTGTTTGTTGCATGCCCCTTTAATATCTTGGCACGCAAAAGCCCAGGCCCACTCCAAGAGTGGCCCCTGGGGTCCAGAGACAGCAATGAGAGGTGCTAAAGCTCCTGACTCTTGAGGGAGGCATCCTTATCCCTGATGTAGCTCTGGATCCAGTCGAGGTAGTTGTTGACTTTAGTGTAGACACCATAGTTGTTGAGGTGCCCACAGCCCTCACCCCAACTCACTAGGCCCACTAGGAACCAAGTGCCACGGAAGAAGGCCACCATGGGCCCCCCACTGTCACCATCACAGGCATCCCTTGGGTCGCCAATGATGCCTGCGCACAGCATGTTCTCTGAGACCACATTGCTCATGACCTGCATGCACTCGTTGCGTGGGGCCACGGGAATTCGGATGAAGGTGAGGATGAAGGTGCGGTTCCTCTTGCCATCTTTGTTTCTGTCGCTGTGATAGCCCCAGCCTGTCACCACCGTCTCCTGGCCAACCTGGGTGAGCTCCCTCTCCGCCAGGCCATTGTCTGGCAGGCAGATGGGCACAATGGTTTTGGAAAGGGTAGCTGGCCTGGACAGGCGCAGCAGTGCAATGTCGTTGTCACTGGTGCTCCGACTGTAGTTTGGGTGAACAAGGACTTCCTTGATGTCCAGGTCCAACTCCCACTTGTCCCTACGCCGCAGGTCATATTCACCTGCAGGGACGAGGGCACTGTCAGAGTGGGCTGGGGGAGCCCACAGCACTGCCTTGCTTCTGATGTTCTGCCTGTATGAGGATCTGAAACTGATCCCTGTGTGTCCCAGGCACTGGTGCAGGGCCACCTGTTTGTGCCTCAGATCCTCATTAAGGGTGGCTTTTCCTGCCAGAAGTGTGGAGTGGATGGGCCAGTGGGCACCAATCCTAAAGGGGCAGAAGGCTGCTCTGCATTCAGAACTCACAGACTGAGCAGCAAGATCAAGAAAACAAAACAGCTGGGAAGCCAGAAGTACCTACAAACCCAGGACCCAGAGCAGAGCCACAAAGGACGGGAACCAGGAACAACTAGAGAGACAAACAGGAGGGCATCAAGACCCAAAGGGGAGGGCCAACAAAACCCAGGTGCTGCTAGCAAGAATGATCTGGACAACAGGGAGAGACAGGCCCTCTTGGCCAGGTGATGGCTCTGGGAAGCAGAGTCAGAGTCCCACACAAGCCCCAGGGGCCACAGCTCATTGCCTGTACTGAAGGTAGCTGTATGGTGTGTCAATTTTGTCGTTCTCTACACACCTTCCCTTTTTCAATGCATTTATGTGTCCATGTTCATGGGGGATGTATATGTGTGTAGCTGCATGTGCATGTGGAGGCCAGAGGTCAATGCTGGGTGTCTTTCTTGATCACTTACCACCCTATATTTTGAGGCAGAATCTCTCACTGAACTTGGGGCTCACAGATTCAGCTAGACTGACTGACCAGCAAGCCCCAGAGCTCCTCTTGTCTGCCTTCCCAGTACAGGGATTACAGCTCTCCACTCCCATGCTTGGCTTTTATGTGGGTGATGGGGATTTGACTCAAATCCTCACATTACCATCTAAGCCATTTCCCAGCTCCCCCTTTGCTTTATGTGTAGAGTCTACTAAAAGCCACTTCAGAAATTGTCAGAGTAGGGCCTAGGCTTGGGGACCCGTAGACTCTTAGGGAGCAACTAGCAAGGCCAGCCACTGCTGCACAGCTCCACCCTGTCTGTCTATATGAGGCTCACACAGTTTCATGGGTCTTCCTGTGGCAGAGTGCTGAGGCCCCCACACAGCAGTGGGAGCAAGGCCTGGATGTGCACCTCCCCTCACACACACACACATGGGCCTAGATCTGAAGTGGCACCAGAGAATCCCCTAGCTGCCTGAGGTTATAGTGTGAGCAGGGTGCTGGCACAGAGGCCCCTTCCCCCTAAGTATTTTCTGTGGAGTGCAAGTGCCTAAGTGCCAGGATCCTTCAACCTTGGGCAGCGTGCCTGCTTCCCCTGTTCTACCCCAGGCCTCTGGCAGCTGTTCCTCCTTGGTGTAACCCTCACCGAGCCTCACGGTGAGCTTCTTAGTGTTCTCCATGCAGTGGGCCGCCGTCAGCACCCAGGAAGAGTGGATGAGCACCCCTCCACAGGCCAGCTTCTTCTTGGAGTCCAGAAGGATCGCCTGGAGATGACATCACAGGACTGCCGCTGACAACTCCCAGTGCTGTGCCCCTAGGTCTTATGTGCCCCCAAGCAGTTTCAAGCACTTCCTTGGGTTCCTGGTTCCTGAGTCCACTGGCATACATAGACTTAAGGTTATTTTCTGGTGTTTTCTATTTGTCACATTGTCCAGTGTTGGCCTGTGTCAGAGCAGCTCTTTGACATGGCCCATGCTGTTCCTGCAGTCAGTCACACCAGCATCAGAAAGCTCCCCTGCTGGGGCTTGGGTCAGGCCTCACATCTTCTGGGAAGCCTTTGTGTTACCCAGGATGCTTGAGGCATCCGCCTTAGACCTCTTTCAGTCCCTGTTCTAATGGCCATCCTGACTCTCACCAGTTGCCTACTGAATCTCAGAGTCTCTGCACTCACCAAGCGCTCACCACACCTGTTAATTACCTGTACTCCCCCACCCCAGAGCCTGGTAAAGAGGAGAAACTAGTGTTACTGCCTATATTGAGGCTGGAGATGCTCAATTTCAGTGCTTTCTTCTAGCCCTTTCCTATGCAAGAACTCTCTCCATGAGCAGGGTCTCTGCCCCAATCCCCACCCTCACAGCTCTGTCTCTCCATCTCTTCCTAAACCTCAGAACTCTGCCTCCTGCATGCTCCCATCCATACCTAAACCCCTTCCATCAAGTAACCTGCCAACCCCTGAATTTGCCCACCCTTACCTGACCAGCCCCCACCCATCCCTCCAAGCAGCAGTACTTCCCTCCCCATTTCTTCATCAGAGCAGGGGTTGCTAGTAAGAGTATAGGAAGCCCTGACCTCCTTCTTACCTGCCAGGGGCTGTCTCCCTGTTTGGTCAGCGTTCCGTTGATGATCCTAGGACCTAGTTCTAGTTCATCCTCTGGGTCTGTGTCCCGTTTGACATTCTTGCGCTTCTTCTCTATCCACCTCCCCAACCTCCCACATGGAAAATTCACTGAAAACAAGAAGGAGGTGGTAAGGTAACTGCCAGGCAAGACTCCTGAAGCTGTCCTCTTACCTTGGCCTTTCTCCTGATGGTAGGCTAGGTTGCCACACAAGAGGAATCAAGAAGTGCTGCTTAGGACACTCAGTATTAGCTGGGATGGCTCTGATCAGTCAGGCAACAAATAGTGTCATCTACTGGCAAGGCTCAGTCCAAGCAGCATCAGTACCTAAGGGCCCTGAACAGGTGGCTAAAGGTCTCCAGATTCTTTATACCCCAGGGCTATGGAAGATCATCTCCAAGGTGATCTTTTGTCAAGATCTTCTGCCAAGATCCTAATGGAAATAAGAAATGATGTGGACAAGGCTGGGATATAGCTTAGTTGGTAGAGTGCTTGCCTAACATGCATAATGCCTTGGGTTTGATCCCCAGCATTGCATTCAGCTGGCATAATGAGACACATCTGTAATTGTAGCACTTGAGAGGGAGAGGCAGGAGAATCTGAAGTTCAAGATCGTCCCAGGCTATATAGTGATTTTGAGTCCACTCTGGGCTACATGAGACCCAGAGCGAGAGCGAGAGCGAGAGCGAGAGCGAGAGCGAGAGCGAGAGAGAGAGAGAGAGAGAGAGAGAGAGAGAGAGAGAGAGAGAAGGGCATTCTTGTGTGTGTGCGTGTGTGTGCTGGTGCACATGCATGTAGAAGCCAGAGATCAATGTTGAGTGTCTGTCTTAATTATTTCTCCACCTTTATTTTGAGACAGAGTCTCTCACTGAACCAGGAACTCACCAGTTGGCCAGACTGGCTGGGTAGTGAATCCTACTGCCTCCATTCTCCCCCTTAGCACACTGGGGTTACAGGCACACATAACCGCACCTGGCTTTTTATGTGGGGCCTGGGAATCCAAACTCGGTCCTTGTGCTTTCACAGTAAGCTCTTTACCAACTGAGCCGTCTCCCCAACCCCAAAGATGTGCATTCTTGGAAAGCATCACTGCGAGGCCTCTCTTATTACAGCAGAGGGTATGACATGGAGAACCAGGGGCTGGATGGCCTGCAGGGTCTGCTCCTATAGGCTTTGAATACTAGGTTGGGAGATCTAGACTGGTGGAGCAGTAGGACACCATCATCATGGGAAGCAAAGAATGACAGAATGGATAGGAGACAGTAGCAACAAAATGTCAAAAGCTGGCTAGCAGGTAGACTTGGTGTCTGACTTTGCAAACTGAGAAGCAAAAGTCTCTACCAATACCAGAGTGCCCAGAAACTGAGATTGCATACAACCCCTCAGCAGGCTTCTGGACCCCCCCCCGCCCCCAGGGCTAGGTGCAGTATTGATATAACTGCACACTGGGCATGACAAGGGCTGACACAAGACACTTAAGAGAGCCATCCTTGTGGCTTGACTCCCTCTGTCTCCCCTACAAAGGTCCATCCCTGAGGAAGGTTAAGCAGAGGTTGTGATGTGGAGATTCCAGGCAACTCTTCAGTAAAGTTTGGATAGGGAGCTGAAAAGATGACACAGTGATTAGGAGCACTGGCTGCTCTTACAGAGGACCTGGGAACTCTTGCAGAGTTCCCAGCACCCACATGGTGACTAATAATTGTCCATTAACTTCAGTTCCAGGGGATCCTATGTCCTCTTCTGATCTCCTTCTGGTATTGCATGACACAGGTGCCCTTATATGCATGCAGGCAATACACTCATACACATAAAATTAAAACTTGAAATTATGGGGCTGGAGAGATGGCTCAGCAGTTAAGAACACTGGTTGTTCTTGCAGAAGACCAAGGTTTGAATCCCAGAACCCACATGGCAGCTAACAACTGTCCTAACTCCAGTTCCAGGGGATCTCACAGCCTCTCTGTCCTCTGCCTCTCTGTCCTCTGCAAGCATTGCATGACACAGGTGCACTTATCTGCATGCAAGCAATACATGCATATACATTAAAAAAAACTTGAAATTATTAAAAAAGAATGGCGTAGTTGGAAGTCCAGAGAATCATGCAAGGTCTGTGGGCTGTAGAGATGCCAGCTCTTCTGCCTACCCTGCTCTGAGGGGCTTGCAGGTAATTAAAAGCATTCTCTAGCCTTGCAGGTACCCTTCTCAACACCCACCTAGATGGAGAGGCCTAAGGAGTTGCAGAACCAAAGTTTCTGTTGATGCCCCTGGCCTTCTGATGCCCTTCAGGAAAGCCCACAACCAGACAATCCCATCGGGGACTTCCTTGCAACTTCTTGTGAATCTATTATCAGATCAAATTCAAAATAGAAAGCTAAAAAGTATGTTTCTGACACCAGGTGTGGTGGTGCATGCCTTTAATCCCAGCACTCATGAGGCAGAGGCAGAGGCAGGCCAATCTCTGTGAGAGGGAGGCCAGCCTGGCCCACATAGTGAGTTCTCGGCTAGTTGGGCTACAGGGAGACCTGTCTCAAAAATTTTTTCAAAAATGTGTTTCTGTATAAAGACTAGAAGATCAAGCTATAAATAGTTACCTGAAAGACTACAAAGTCAAGGCTGGGGAGCTTAGGTGACAGAGTGCTTGCCTTGTATGCACAAAGCCCTGGGTTCCATCCTCAACACTGAATAAAATCAGGGTTAGTGCATGCCTGTAATCCCAGCACTTGGAAAATAGAGGCAAGGAGGGTCAGAAAATCAAAGTCATCCTCATTACAAAATGAGTTCAAGGTCAGCCTGGAATACATGAAACCCTGTTTTTTAAAAAAGTCAGAGACTGAAAAGACATGACTGTTATAAGAGATGTAGAAAGAGGCAGCAAAGAGACAAGGGAGATTGTCAAAGAAATAGCCTTAAAATGTTCGAAGAGCCAGGCCTGGTGGCCCAGACCTGTCCTGTAATCCCAGCTAGTTGGGAGGCTGAGGCAGAAGAATGGCAAGTTTAAGACTTGTCTGAACTACAGAGTGAATTCAAGGTCAGCCTGAGTGACTTAGTGAAACCTTGCTTCAAAAAGAAAAGAGAGTGGATAAGAGATGACAGAGAGACAGCTGGGACTGTCTAGTCCCAGTATAGCTCAGGGTAGAACACCTGCCTAATATATTCCAAGACCTAGGTTCAATCCCTAGTACTTCAAAAAAAGAAAATGTCCCTAGACACAGAAGATTAATTTTCTCATCAAAAGGGTTCATCAATAGGGCTAGAGAGATGACTTAGAGGTTAAGTGCTCTGGCTGCTCTTGCAGAGGACCCAGGTTTAATTCCTAGCCACCTACATGGTGGCTAAAATCCGCCTGTTACTCCAGTTCCACAGGAATCCAACACCCTCTTCTGACCTCCACCAGCATTGCAGGACTGGGTACATTTATATACATGCAGGCAAAACACTCATATACATAAAATAATAAAATATTTTTTAAAAAGGGTCTATCAAGGGTATTGTATAAGGAAAAAAAGACCTATGCCTGGGAAAACATGCTGAACTCTATCATACAAGTTGTAAATCCCTGGCTTCTTAAACTAAGTCCCCAACTACTTTGTCCAAATAAAAAATTCAAGGAAAAGCTAAAATCTAAAAGGAAGGTAGAACCAGGGTTCTGCTCTGAAGCAACATATCCAGAAGTGTAGATGGGGGAAGTGTAGCCTTTGTGTGTGTATTTGTGTGTGTGTGTGCATGTGTGTGTGTGTGTGTGTGTGTGTGTGTGTAGAGAGAGAGAGACAGAGACAGAGAGACAGAGAGACAGAGAAAGACAGAGAGAGAGAGAGAGAGAGAGAGAGAGCTGTGCTCCTGTACTCCAGTATGTCCCCAAGGTGAGCAGGGGCAGGGGCACTTGGAGTAAGGCAAGCAAGCAAGGGAAAAAGCAAGAAGCAGGGCCTGAGCTGACCACTTAAGGAGTGGGAAGGCACGTCCACTTGTCTTGGGTCCCTAAGATGTTCTTGCTCCCCAGGAGTTCCCTGACTCCCCTTCCAGCCGATGTGGGGATCCCTGAACCCAGGGATGCTCATGGAAGGTCAGCCTTGGCTTACCTGTGGACTTGCATTGCATGTGGTCATCCGCCAGCTTGTAGCCTGGGGCACAGCTGCAGCGCCGACCTCCGTCATCCTCCAGGCAGTAGTGTGAGCAGCCACCATTGTCAACCCGGCAGTCGAGGAAGCCACGCTCTGCACAGAACAGGGGAGCCGGGCAGCCCAAAGTGGCCCTGAACGCCCCGCCCTCCTCCCCTACCTATGCTGACTGGGCCTGGCTGCCCACCAGGCGTCCCCTCACCATGCTGGCAGAATTTGCCCTCCCAGCCCTCGTCGCAGCTGCAGCTGAAGCTACCCAGGCCATCAATGCACTTGCCATGTCCACAACAAGGGCTGTCGCATTGGTGGTCCAAGGGCGGGGCTTTGCACTGGTCACCATCTGTGAAACACAGTGGGATGGGACAGTGGAGGACATGGGACTTCTAGCTCCCTCTTCTCACCTCCAGTGATCTGAGCAAGCACAGCTTCCCAGTCAGGAGTCTAGACTGCACTCACCGAAGTATGTGGTCCAAAAGGCCAGCTGTGGAGGGAGAGGGCACAGTCAGGAGCCAAAGGAAGCCCACAGGACACCTTTTCCTCCTAGGTATGTCCTGTCCCAGGAAAGCCAGTGAGCAGTGAGTGTGAAGGGCTTCCAGATAAACAAGGGTCAAGCCTGATTGTCACCATTGTGCTCTTTGCACCCCCCACCATCCCTCCCTATACACCTGGATCTCTGCCCCCAGAGCATCTACTCCCACAGTGCCATCCACAGCCACCCAAAGGACTTAAGTTCCCCGACTGGCTGCTCTGAGTTCTTCCAGTTCCATCCTCCTCCTCCTGGGTTTGGGGGACCCCTCACCATCAAGACTTTCTTTATCTAAGCCAGTATCCTCAGAACCCCTGACACATGACTTGCTAGGTCCTAGCTGACTAAGACCCAGAGTACCCTATGAGGACAGGCATCAGAGTCTTGGTCACATACCCTGACCATAATGTACAGGGCAAAGTGGAAACAAGGAGACAGGAAAGGAGAGACAGAAAGGCTAGGCAGTGGTGGTCAGTGACCACTGAGGACTCACTGAACTTCCCACAGAGGGGCTGGAAGCCCAGCCAAGATGCCCAGACTCTCTTCCCTGAGCTCATTTTCAGAGTCCTGCTTCTTATAGTTTCCTGTGCCCTGACCAACCCTTAAATAAGGCCAGCTCCCATACTACCCAACCAACTCATCCAACTTCAAAAACCTCTCTGACAGAGGTCATGCTTGCCTGCTCCTCTATGCCTCAGCCAGCCCCCAGCCCACCCCGAGCCTCACCCTCTGGACCCAGTATGGTGGCCTTACAGTGTCATCCACATTTTGAAAAATCTCCTGGGCCTCCTCAAAGTCACAGATCTCCTCCATGCACTCCCGCTCCAGGCTGCCTGGCCGCAGTTCCTCCAGGAAGCTGTTGGCTCGTTTGATACGCAGTACCTGGTGGGCTTGCTTACTGCTGGAGAACACTAGATCTGGTTTGGGAAGGCGGGGGGGGGGTGTCACTGTGGTAGAGGGACCCAAGAGGGGTCAAGCCATGAGGAGTCTAAGGAAGCCCAGCAGGAGTGGGCCTAGAAAGAGCTTGTCTTAGTCCCTCAAGGCTTATTATAAGTCCTGAGAAGGATGTGCCCTGCTCTTCTGCTCAGTCCCCAGGAACCTCCTGGGAGGACAAGAGTCTTGACCTTTCAAAGCATGGGCTCTGAGACAAACAGACCTCCTTTTGAACCCCAATCTGACTTTTAAGATTGCATTTATAGTTTGCACATGTGTGCAACCATGTGGACATGCGAGTGCCACAGAGACATGGAGGGCTTCAGAGAACTATTTGTGGATGTTTGTTCTCTCCTTCCACCTTGTGGGTGCTGGGGATAATCAGGTGGTCAGGCTTGCCAGCGGGCACCTAATAAGCCATCTCACCTGCCCCAGAACCTGACTTCTGTCTTCATGCCTCTCAGCTTCAGTCTAATCATCCCAAAGTGGGCACAGGCGTGTCCAACTTCTTGATACTGTGACATTGTCATTTACAATGTTCCACAAGAACTGTGTGATTGAGTTACAAAAAAAAAAAATTCCAAAAAGAAATTATGTTTTTAAATCTTAATTAAAGTTTACAATTTTGTGTTGGGCCACATTCATAGCTGTCTTGAGGTACATGCAGCCCAAGACACATCTAGAACATTTGATAGGGTGCTTGGCACAGAACTAAGCACTCAGTGACAATGCCAGATGTCCCTGTTGCTGCTAAGACTTCAAAGTTACGGGCTAGAGAGATGGTACCCAGCACCCTCCTATAACTCTGGCTCCCAAGGATCCAATGCCATTTTCTGGCCTCCATAGCTACCCCCACACATGTAATACACACACAGACACTACATAAATACAAGTAAATTTTGATTTTAAAAAAAGACTGCAAAGTTATATGTTCAAGAAAACAGACTTATGTAACCTTATATAATACTAAATAGTAATGAAAGAATAAGATTGCTAAGTGAAATCCACCTTACTCCTCCCAGCATAGCTGAGTGAGCCCTTCTTGTTTGTTCCTTGATTCCCACCCTCCTCCATCAAACAGTCCCCATCTCTTCCCATTCAATGGGAACATCTGGAGGACAGAGACCTGTCACCCAGTGTGTGCCACCAAGTGTCTGCTGGGCTCTGAGAGATGCGTCTTGAGTAGGACAGCTAGGAGAGAGGGACCTAGTCAGAGACATCCAAGAGGGGCTGCAGGGATAGGCACACAGGCTTAAGCTGAGGTGGAGATAGAAAGCAGGTGTGGGTGGGGCTGGCTGGAAAAGGGCTTAGCAGACAGATAAGCCACTCAAGGCACAAGTTCAAGAAAGCCTAAGTGGCTCTGGAATGATCCATTTGTCCCTGCACCTCCCAGAGGACAATGGCTGCCTCCTGTTTGCTGTGAGGCCTGAGGGCAGGACAGGAGAATGCAGATTTCCATTTTAGGAGCCACATAGGGTAGGGGGTGGCTAGAGGCCTGAGTCTGGTGCTTCCTCCACTGGGAGAGAGTGGGTAGAGCAAGAAGGTTCAGGGGACTCTCTGACCCACCCAAACCCATCACCTGTATCTGCCCTCTCAGCCTTTGGGTTGTTTCCCAGCTGCTGGCCTGCCTGGGCTTGCCAGCCAATTCGACGTCTGGTCTGCAATTTACTGAGGCTCAGAGGAAATGAGGGAAGGTATGAAGGCCAGGGAAGGCCCCTGGAGGCCCCACTCCAAGAGTCCTTCGATGGGACAGGGATAGGCTTACCAGAAGGGGCTGGTGTGCCAGGAATTCCCCAGGTGGTCATGAACAGCAGGAAGCTTGTGAGATGCCACATCCTGGAGCTGCTGACACCTGTCTGAGGAAAACTTCTAAGTTCCTGGGACACCACTGCTGCTCTCCATCCCAAGAGTAGAATGAAGCAGCCATCCCTAGGCTGGGGAGAGCTCAGTAGATAAAAGCACCTGTCATGCAAGCTGGGGGTGGGGGTGGGGGCGGGATTTAAGTTTGATCCCCAGAACCTGTGTAAGGAAAAATAGCCAGGGGCTAGAGATATGGCTCAGCAGATAAGAATACTGACTGGTCTTGCAGAAGACCAGGATTCAATTCCCAGCACCCACATAACAGCTAACAACCATCTATACCTCCAATTCCAGGGGATTTGACACCCTCTTCTGTCCTCCAAACGCATTGCACGACATGGGTGTACTTATACACATTCAGGTAGCACACTCATATACATAAAATAAAAATAATAAATTTTTAAAAATTTTTAAAAAGAAAGAAAAACAGCCAGGTGTGGTGGCATGTACTTCTAATCCCAGTTCAGGGGAAGTGGAGACAAAGTGATCCCAGAGGCTTGATGGCCAGCCAGGCTACTTGATGACTTCCAGGCCAGCGAGAGACTTTGTCTCAAAAAACAAGGTGGATAGCTCTTGTAGAAAATACTGGAGATTGATTTCTGGCCTCTACATGCATACACAGACACATGTACCTGCATACACAAAAAAGCAAGGAAGGAAGGAAGGGAGAAGGGGGGGGAGGGAGGGAGGAAGGGGGGGAGAGGGAGGGCCGTCCCTGTGGGGTCATTGCCAGTGAGAAAACTGAGGCAACTGGGCCTTAGAGTTAAGCAAAGAGGTCACAGAGTTCCCATAAAGGGCAAAGGGGGCTTGGCTCAGAAGGGCCCAATGCAGAAATGAGAAGTGCAGGGGTGTTTGCACCCTCCTCCCTTCCTTCTTTTTCTGGTGACAGTCGTGGGGTGATGATGGTTGTGCCTTTGCTGGCTTCATAGCTGGGCTGAGAACACTAGCAAGCTTCAGTTGGACACTGAGGTGTCTTTGAAACAATGTGCACACCACTTAGGACAAGTCATGAAGCCAGACAGCCTGGAGCAAATTCTCCCACTTACCAGAGAACAGTGTTGGCCAAGATGCTTAACTTGTTTCATGCCTCAGTTTCCTCTTTTGTAAATAAATATAATAGCTTTATATCTGCCATAAATAGTTATTAAAAAATAAATGGTAGTCCACATAAAACTCTCTTATGAGAGTGTGGGTACATGAAGGTGCATGTAACATGTGTGCGTGCCTATGAAGGCCTGAGGAAAGTACTGGCTGTTCTTCCTCAGACACTCTCCACCTTATTTTTTGAGACACGTTCTCTCAATGGTCTGGAACTTACCAAGTAGGAAAGACTGACTGGACAGAAAGCCCCAGGGATCAGCCTGGTCCCACTCCCTAGCACTGGGATTACAAGTAAGTGTCACCATACCCAGCTTTTTTTTTTTTTTTTTTTTAACATGTGTTTTGGGGATCAACAAACTCAAGTCCTCATGCTTTGCAAGGCAAGCACTCTATCAACTGTACCATCTTCCCAACTCCACACATAAAGCTGTTAAACAAGTGTTGGGGATGAAGGGTGCAGCTCAGTAGTATAGAAATGCTTAGCATGCATAAGGCTCTGGGTTCAATCCCCAACATCAGAACAAACACACATACATACACACACACACACACACACACTCACACAAGAGTTTACACACAGCAAACACTCATCTGTCACCACTTTCTAGTACTGTCTCAGTGACGCTCACAGCCACCCAAGAGATAGGCATAATGTTATCACCTTCATTTCATGAAAGAGAGTTCAGAGGCCCAGAGGGGGTAAGCAGCTTATTAAAAACCTACAACCAGGAGGGGGGCAGAGCTTGGACTTAAGGTTAAGTCTTTATGGTCCTAGTTCTGGAGCCTTAACCTTTGCCTTGAACCAAGGGTAACCTTCAAGGTCTTTACTACCCTGAAGACCAGGCAGGCCGGCAGGGCTGCCCTCACCAGCTGCACAGCCCCTCCTGGCCTCACTTTCTTCCTCTGTTGACTTCCTCAGTCATGTGTCCCACCTTAGAGGAGGGGGTGGAGGTGGGCAGTGGGGGTTATTCGAGCCAAGCTACCTCTGCGGATGGCCCAGGGCCCTGGAGAACTCCTAGTCTGACCCACAATTTAGTGAGATGGAGACATTTGGCATGAAGGTGCCTTGAACTATGGGAACGCCAGCCCATGCCATGGCCTAGGCAGAAGCAGGGCCTCCTTTCCCTTGACCCAAGTTCTGGATAGACTGGAGAACCCTCACTCAAGGATCCCACCTTCCTCATAGTTCATCTCTCCTCCCCATCCCTCCTTCCACACCCCTTCACAGTCCTTCCCTGAGGGGGACTTACAGGGGTGGGCTGTGGAGAAACTGCAAGTTCGCCCTCATGCCGCCATGTCAGCCTGGAAGTCGGGTTAATCCATAACCACAAATATTTGCTTGGCTCTCACTGCTGAGCCTCCCTCTTCCAGACAAACAAACAAGGAGTGCTGGTATGCCTGATCCCAGCTCTGAAAGGCTCCATTTGCCCAATGAGCTTCCTATGAAGAAAACTGTCCAACAGGGAGGGAGGGCTGAGCATGTCCAAACTGCCTGGCTTCTCATTTTAGCCTCATAGTGACAGGCAGAGAGAAGGGTTTTGGCCCTGTCTTACAGATGGGGACTTGGCTAACACAATGAGTAAAAAGTCCATATTTCATCAAACCTAGGATGCCATAGATGTATTTATCTATGTGCCACTATAAAGTAATAAAACACTGTCAATTACACAGTGACTTCTTTTTAAAATATTTTTAAAATTGTGTGTATGTATATGTCTATGTGTATGCATATGCGTATGTCTGGGGCGGGTACGTGCACGAGAGTAGGCCAGAAGAGGGCATTGGATCCATTACAGACCATTGTGAGCCACTGGGCATGACTGTTAGAACTAAACTCTGGTCTTCTGCAAGAGCGGTATATGCTCTTAACCACTGAGCCATCTTTTCAGCCTTATCCTGACTTCTACCCTTAGTTTCAGGTACTGGGTAGACCCTCAACTGCCTGGGTAACTCTATAACTACTACAGCCTGGTGGGAATGAGGGTGTTCTAAAGAGAGTCATGCATCCCTCATTTTGGCTATCAGACTATTTAAACAACAGACCCTCAAGACATTATGATTTCTTCAGGAATCTCTTTCCGAGAGAAGGAAAAGGCTGAAGCCTAGGACAGACAGAGGGGGAGTTTGTCTCCCAAGAGGAGATTTGAACAGTTCTCCTAGAAGAGACTGGAGCCCAGACAATAATGGGTCAGTGATGAGCATGACCATGTCTTGACCAGAACTGCTAAATTATGCACACCTCCTGCCTTCTATTTAAACCTAAACTTCATGTCAGGACCCCAAAGATGGACTTGAGAGTCACGGGACTTCTTTGTTTCCCTTCCCAGTGTGGCCACACGGATCGAATCTCCTTACTCTGCTTTTCACTATTGTTAAATTGGCTTATTGAGGATGGGTGGTGGAACCTGGCTTGTTAGGGCAGTCAGAGCTCAGGCTCTGACCCAATTAACTCCCACAACAACCCCACCCAACTGCAGAGGTCTTATTATCCCCTCTGTTCGAAGGAGGGGGCACTTAAAAGTCTTGGGTTGCTTGTCCAAATTGACAGAGCTGGCGCGAGGCAGGCCTGAATTAGAATCAAGTCCTGGCCACTTTCTGAGCTAGCGGGAAAAAGACAGAAGTCTGGAAAGCCGCAGGAAATCCCCAGCCAAGATGTTTGGAAAAGAGAAAGGCAGACATGGCCTTTGCTAGGTCCTGCAGGCTATCGGCATTCTAAGTGCTTTTTTTCCTTGAACCTGGCTGTACCAGAGGCGCAGCTGTGTGGTCCCAGCCTTTAACGGCCTGGGAGACTTGACCTGGCTCTTCTTCAAAGTCCCCTGAAGAGGGGAAGTCACCTGACCCAGGGAGCCAATCGGGTTTTCTCTCCCCGCCCCCAGGAATAAGGCCTTAGCTCCCAGCTCAGCTGTGAGGGCTTGGTTCGGAAGTTTGAAGTCAGAGCGGCCCGGCGCCGTATTTGCCCCTACCCGAGGTGTGGAGGGCTCCCAGGACAGGCAGTGGGAAGGTACCCGGGTGGGTGAAGAAGAGGGCAGACGGAGGGGAGGCACTTAGAAATGAGCCTATGGGAAATGAGCAGGTAGCTATTTGCGAAGGGGCTGTGGCGGCTACCTAGAGAAGGGAGCCGCGTACCTGGCCACACTGGCAGAAGCATAGGGCCAAGTGCCAGACTACACTGGAGGCTTGTGCACCCTTGGGGAACTTTGAGGGTTTTTTTTTTTTTTTTAAAAAAAAAAAAAGCTTGCAGGCTGTTTTTGCTCTAGGTGCCGCCTTCCCACAAGCCTGCAGCTGCCCTCCTCCTGACCTACCAAGCACAAGGTGTTGCAGATGTCCGTTGGGCTCTGATTCCCTCCCGCACCTAACTCCCCTCCCCTTCCACCACTTTCCATCTAACACAAGCGGTCAGCTCCACGTTAACTAGCAGGGTTCACTGTCCCTAACCAGCACGGTGGACTCTGCCCAAGGTGGCCACGTCCAAACAACCCAGAAGTTGCAATACTGAAGGGACCATAGCTAGGGGAAGGGTTTGGGGAGTTCCTGCCCGCCTAGCAGGCTGCCTGTAGGAGGTCTCCGGGCTCCCCCTGTAGAGCTCCTCATGACTTCAGGCCTCCTTCAGCTCTGCACGATGGACTGTGTCATCCGCCACCCCCAGAGGGTTAAAGTGCCGGCCACCGTTGGTTCCGGAGTGATTCAACTAGCTCCTTGGAATCCAGGGTTCTGCATCCTCTCGCGGGCTTCCGGCAGATGGCGCTGCACCGCTGCTGTACAGGGCCTGGGCCTGGAGGTTAGCTGCTGAGCTGCCTCCTCTGGAGTCTCCCTTGCCTGGGGTGACTCTCACTTCACCACAGTTCAAGCTGACCCCAAATACTGCCGTGGGGATTAGGAGATGAATCCTTTGTGATTTCCGGAGTGGAGTACATGGAAAGAATAGGTGCTAAAGGTGTGTCGGGAGAAAGGAAAAGGAAAATGCTGGAAGGCAGTGGGAGATGGAGTGTTCTGAAACCTTCTGGTTGGGATCAGGCTTTCATGACAGTAAAGCTCAATATGGCTCCTTACCAACTGGATTTTTAACCTCCCTGTTTCCGCATCTGTAACATGGGGTCAATAAGAGTGTACACCTCAGGTGGTGGTTGAAATAGTCACATTAAATGTTTTCAGAGCTACACAGTGGGTCCCTCTCTCAAAAACAAAAACATTTAGAGTGTGTGTGTGTGTGTGTGTGTGTGTGTGTGTGTGTGTGTG